CAAGTCACTGTCCCTTGCACTATTCAGTCTTCCTCCTGCTGTCACTCTTCACTGTAACCTGCTCCAAGTCCTCCTCTGCAAGCAGCAGGGGGGGCAGCTCCTCCCCACCCTCCTTCAGAAGCCCTTCCGTCTCGCGAACCGCCCCTCCCTCCTCTTCTCCAGCCTCCTCCTCCGGCTCCTCGTCCAGCTCCGAGCCCTGCACCTCCACTTCGCCCCCCCGGATCTTCTTCACGCGGAAGGTGAAGGGCGGCACTCTGTACACGGTCACCTTGGAGCGGGCGTAAATGGCATGGTCTGGCTTGAAGGACTTCTTCATCTTCTCCCGTGAGAATTTTAGCTTCTCCTTGCGTTCAGACCTGACCGACATCCGCGTGCTCAGTTTGCCCATCTTCTTCTGAAAGTTGTGCCTGGTCTTTTCTAGGTTCTCTCGGGTTCTCTGTCGGGTCATCTTCAGGTTCTCCTGAGTCTTCTGCCGAGTCTTCTCCATCTTCTCCTTGGAGAAGGCCTTCTTGATGTTGTCCATGCGCTGCAGGCCACTGCGCTTGATGCGCTGGGCTCGTGACTCCTCAATGATCTCCTCGATTTCCACCTCATCTTCAGGGGACAATCCACTGGGAGGCTCCTCTTCGTCTTCTTCTGCATCTATGTTCCCCTCAGCCCCTCCTTCATCTGCTACCTCCTGGCTCTTCTTGGTCTTAGAAAGTACTACCTGGGGGAGGGTCTCTGCCTCATCCTGTGAAAACATTTAAACGATAAAAAAAGAGGCATAACCCATCATTTAAATGTAAATATAAACCTACCTCTCTGAGGTAGCCGTTACAACTTGTGCAATGCTCCCTCTAGTGGACAGACTTAAACAACACAGTCATTTTTAAACTGGTATAAACTCTGGAAAGTCGAAGGCAATGAGTGTTGCAGTACATTATGCATAGAGTTACGCAAGCATATGGCAACAAAGATCAGGCACTTAGTCAGTACACTGATAAACGTCACTAACGCTATGACTGTGTTCAGTCTCAGCACTGTATTTGTGACTGTAAGGCAAAATGAATTAATGCTAGTGTTACGCAAAACAAAGATAATCAGAAACAATCATATTTAATGAATACTGCAACACACACACAACCATGCACACACAGATATATGTATGTATATATGCACTTTACATAACACACACATATATATGTACACACACACACACGTAGGGTAAACATATCCCTATAGGGACCGCTCATTCATTTCAATGGGAAAAATGCTAACGCTAACTATGACAACCTTAACCCCCACCCTGCCCTAACCACAACCATAAGTAACCTAACAAAATACAAGAGTTTTTGCATTTTTAGTTTTTTCATAGCAGTCACCGATTTTTATAAAATAGTGTTTTCCCTTATAGGGACCAGGAAACCGGTCCCCATAAGGGAAAAAAAACGGATATTTATCACGTTATGGGGACATTATGGGCACACACACACACACACACACACGCACACACACACAGACACACACACACA